ATAGATAGATAGATAGATAGATAGATAGATAGATAGATAGATAGATAGATAGATAGTAATGTTTTTTAAAGCGTAAATATAGTCCTGAATTTATACATGATATATGGCAGCACAGTGGTTCAGTGGTTAGCACTGATGCCTCAGAGCAAGAAGGTTCTCGGTTAGATTCCCTGGTTTGGCCCTGGGGTCTTTTGTATGTTCTCTTTGTACTTGTGTGGGTTTTCTCCAGGTTCCTCCCACAGACAAAAAACATAATGTTTGGTCCAGGCCTCCCAAAAAAAGATCTTTGATCTCAGTAGAATTTTTCTGGTTAAATAAAGATTAATGACTAAATAATATATTTTTAAATCATGTATTTGTTTTTGAAGTAATAAAACATAAGCTGGAATCTTAATAAGTTATTAGGAAGATAATATTGATTAGATTGTTGGACATTTCTGTTAATAAGTGCAAAGATCCTCATCAACAAACTTTTTTTGATGAACCTTTATTTAATGGGACAAATGACTCTGAGATCACACATTTTGTAAGGTAAGCCTGAAGGCAGCAGGCAAAATTTTAAAACAGTTTTAATCAAGCATTTTTCTTGTTATTTTGTTGTGATTTTCTGTATTATCCCTGTGATAATAAGTGATCATGTGTGCAAATCAACCCATTTAGTAACCTTCCTCCATCGTGCTAAAGAATGTTCCAGGTTTTGAGTCATTTCAGAGAAAACCCACTCTGTTATTACTTGTCTTGAAGTCAGATTATTGAAGTAACTGACAAGCTAACCAAGAAAAAGACCCAACTTTTTCTGTCACAGCATTCATTGCACTRAACTGGGCAGAAAGCCTGCAACAAAAATAATCTTTTTTACTGCTATAATTAATTTAAATACTATTTTCAGTTGCAGCTCCATGTTTTCAAAACCAAATCCCATAAAATTTCAGTAGATTTGTTCTGCTGTTGTCATTAATTAGTTATTAATAAAACAGCTATAGTTAGAGAATGAGCTGATAAAGTTAGATCTACTTGAAGCTTGTCCTCTCCTAAATTTTATTTATAAAAAACATTACAACCTCCTCCAGAGATTCCCTGTATTGCGTTGATGACATTGTCTTTCTAAGTTTTATTTTTTTACTTTTAAATAGAATATTTACTTTAAATGTTATCAAMGCGGGTGATATGTATTGATATTTTTAACTTCTAAATGCTGAAAACTAGTGATGTCCATGTGAAATATTGATGTCGATATGCAATAAAAAAAGATGGTGTGCAGGAGTTTCAGTTTGAATTAAAGATAGGTCTGCCTTATCGAGGTTGCCAGATTGAATCCCAGTTGGGACCTTCCTGTGTGGAGWTTACATGTTCTCCCCGTGCACATRTGGGTTTTTACCAGTTTCCTCTCACAGACCAAAACCCTGCACCTTAGCGTCACTGGTACACACTGTACATCTCAAACAAATGCTTTATAAATGGAATAATTCTGAACAAAATTGTGTTTAAGTCTGAGTAACTTCAACTCAGCCAATGAAAGTGGGCCAGTCTGTCAGGAACTCCCGGGTCACTTTTTCCCCCCCAGTCCTTCCCTGAGTGTCCAGGTGTCCCCTGACCCCATGACTCGTGAAGAAAGAGGCAGTGAAGATGAGGAATGGATTTGTTTGTTGATTATTACAAATATGATCAGATTATAAATAAATATTTTTCACTGTCAGAGAGCTCTTCTTTACTGGTGTTTCAAGGAACATGAAGGCATCATGAGGACACCTTATGGTTGAGGCACGGCGTGCTCCTGCTGTCCTCTGATTGGAGCTTTGCCTCTCGTGCTCCACCACTCTGTGGGGGGAAACAACCGGGCTGCGCATGCGCTCCTTGCTCACCGCCATCAGGTTCGTCAAATTCATCTTGGAAGGTACCGGAAGTCAAGGGATTTTACTTTCAAAATAATTGGCTGTACAAACTTTTTTTTTGCTGAATTTAAAGCAGTTTAACAAAAAAGCTTGTGGTGTATGACTTATTTCTAACTTTATAAGTTAATATAAGTTCAGATTACTCGGCTATTACCGCTCACCGCTGCAGGTGATCATGTTTTTGTCTTTGTTTGTGTGTGTGTTAGCAAAAAATCTCCTCAGTCACAGAACAGAATAAATTAAACTTTCAGACAGTAGTCATGGGATGAACATCTACGACTGATTCAAGTTTGGAGTCAGAAAGGTTCAAGATGGCCACCACAGCACAGATATTAGCCAACACAAAACTGACCATAAATCAACCAGTTTTACATCTAGTGAGAAATATTCAATGTAAATGTATAAAATATGACATTATGATAAATAACTGAAATAAAAACGGCCTTTAATAAATAAAAGTTTCTAAAGCACCAAAATAAATACATGTTTTGACATTTTAAGGGTGCTAAAAAGATGAACAACCAACAAACTGATGCATTTTTTATGCTTGCTTTTTCAAATACATTAATGTGCAACTTATTGCTTTGTTTGTCTGTAAGTGGGTTACTTTACTCATTTTCTACAAATAAGGACAGAACTGAAATAAATTTATCTAAAAAAAACAGAAAGTGAAGCTTATTGTGTGTGCAGGTTAGACTCTACCAGGACTGTGGTGTTGTGTCTTATCAGGGTAATACTGTCCTGTCTGTGGTGTTTCATGGACAGAACCTTAATCTTCACGTCTAATATTTTATTTTATTAACTGTTATTCAACCCCGCAAATCCCATTGAGATCACAGATTTCTTTTGCAAGGGAGACCTGGGCCAGAAAGCAACTCGATGTGCACATTTTCTGGTCTTGTTTCTGCTTTTTGTAGATGTTGTGGTTCTCTTTGCATCTTCAGGTCTTGTAGCCCTGCCCCCTGAGGACAGAAACTGACCTTTATCTGCTTGGAAAGCTCCGTCTCTGACCAGCTTGACCCAATCAATATGAAATTGTCTCAGAACACAGATAACAAAAACCTGAGTGATGGTAGGATGAGTGGGAAATGGATCAACAGATTATGGCCTTATTCTCARTAATGATGGTGTTGCTTTGGTTAGCAGTGGTGAAGAAAGAATTGAGTCCAAAGGCAAAGCTTTCAATTTAATGGTCCATCTACGTGGTCATGAGGCAGGTCATGAGGTTTGGATCAAGACTAAAAGAACCAGATCCAGAAAAAGTGGCTGAAATTAGCTTTCTTTGTAGGGTGGTCTGGTCCAAGCTTCGTCATCCGGGGGGAACTCGGAGTAGAGCTGCTGCTCCTTCACACCGAAAAGAATCAGTTGAGGAAGTTCAGGTTTAGTGTACAACTCTTGGATGTCACCCTTTGGAGGTTTTCCAGATATATCCCACTGGGAAGAGACCTAGAATTCTCTGGAGGGATTATATTCCCTATGGAAACACCTTGAGGGATGTCTGGGTTTATCTCCTGAACCTGTTGCCTTTGAGACAAGTGGTAGAAGTTGGATAGATGGATGGATAGATGGATGGTTGGATGGATGGATAGATGGATGGATGGATGGATAGATGGATGGATGGATGGATGGATGGATGGATGGATGGATGGATGGATTGATAGATGGATGGATGGATGGATGGATGATTGATAGATGGATGGATGATGGATAGATGGATGGATGGATGGATGGATGGATGGATGGATGGATGGATTGATAGATGGATGGATGGATGATGGATAGATGGATGGATGGAT